GGAGGAGGAGGAGGAGGAGGAGGAGGAGGAGGGAGGAGGAGGAGGAGGAGGAGGAGGAGGAGGAGGACGAGTTTGCCCCACGCCGCTCGCTCTGCGCCCGCCCGGGAGGAGGCTCCGAGGGGGCTCCCTGGGTCGGAGGGGAGCACGGCGCCCGGCCCCGGCCCCGCAGCAGGCGGGGCGACGAGGAGGCCGGAGGGGCGAGCGGTGCAGGCGGGGATCGGGGATCGAGGATCGAGGGTTCGAGGGCTCGAGGGCTCGAGGGTTCGAGGGTTCGAGGGTTCGAGGGTTCGAGGGTTCGAGGGTTCGAGGGTTCGAGGGTTCGAGGGTTCGGGGATCGAGGGTTCGAGGTTCGAGGGTTCGAGGGTTCGAGGGTTCGAGGGTTCGAGGGTTCGAGGATCGAGGGTTCGGGGATCGAGGGTTCGAGGTTCGGGTTCGGGGATCGAGGGTTCGAGGATCGAGGGTTCGGGGATCGAGGGTTCGAGGATCGAGGCTCGCTGGGGTCGTCGCGACACGGTCCTGCCGCGCGGTACCTGGGACCCCTGGGGGCGGGGCGGGAGCTCGCCATGCAGGCAGGGGGGTCCCGAGGGCACGACCCCCGCTTCGGCCACGCGATGCGGGGGGCAGAGGTGGGATGAGGGGCAAGGAGAAGGGTGGACTGGCACAGGGGGGATGCGTCGACCTGGCATCGGCGATGCATCGTCGATAGATCGGGGACATCACCACCCACCAAACCACCCCAACCCAACCCGAAGGCCCCAATTTACCCTCGATTTCCAGTGGGGGGGGGTCGGGAAACATCGAAAAAACACATGTGGAACCCTTACCCCCCCCCAACCCGAAATTCGGGTCTTCGGGTTGGGTTGGGGTGGTCTGGTAGGTAGTCAGGACAGGCCCCCGACCGCGAATCCCCACGTTCCTGGGCGGGATGGGGCTACCGGGCCCCTAGCGGCGATCAATGGGCGATTCGGGGTCGGTGCGTCCCCCACATGCCCATCCCCCCTCCTCGCTGCCCCCGATGGGAGGGCTTTGAGAAGCCTGCCCCCCTGCCCCCCATGCCCCCCTGGTGCGCGCCGCCGGCCCCAGCTGGAGCTCGCCGCGCATGGCGAGCTCCAGCGGGGGCCATGCAGGGTGCACGGCAGGGGCGAGCTCCAGCTGGACCTCGGCAACGTTGAAGCGGTTCAGAGCCCCGAGTTGATTTCAGCGCAGGAACAAAGAACAAACAGCGCATAAGCGTGAACAACAGAAGTGCCCTGGGTTGTTTCCAGCGCTTTCGATGTCTCGGGGCCCTCCCCGGGCCCCCCGTGACCGTCCGAGGAGGCATCCTCGTGGCGACAGGCGGGTCCCCAGGGAAGGCCCCTGGGGGGTTCAGGGCCCGCTTCCGCCAGGACCCGCTTCATTCATCGCGAGGGCTGCTTGCCCTCCTCCTGCTCCTTCTCCTCCTGCTCCTCCTCCTGCTCCTCCTCCCCCTCCTCCTCCCCCTCCTCATCCTCCTCCTCCTCCTCGTCCTTCTCGTCCTCGTCCTCCTCCTCCTCCTCGTCCTCCTCCCCCTCCTCCTCCTCCTTCTCCTCCTCCTCCTCCTCCTCCTCCTCCTCCTCCTCCTCCTCCTCCTTCGCCTCCCTTGCATCCAGGCCGCAGGTCGCAGCGTCGGCACGGTTGGACTCGGCCCGGTGCCGTGGGTTCTACCCCGAGGTTTGGATTGGCTGACGGGTAAAGCCGTGGTGCATTTGCGTTGCTCGTTGGCCCTGGCCTGGTCCAAGGGACCTGGTCGGTCTGAGCGGGCGTCTTCAGAACGGCCCGCTGAGCGGTGGCTGGCGCGCTGGTCCACGCACAGCAGGCGCTGCGCGCTCTACCCGACCCGACCCTCCCGTGCATCCGACCTCACTCGTTCTGGAGGGTCGAGGAGTTTGAATCCTTGCAGGGATCGGGGCCGAAGGGGCGTGATGGCGAGGCAGGGCGTGGTAGTGCTTGACGCTTCGCGCAACCCCACCAGCCCATCCAGCAACGATCCCTGGCCGAGTTGCCGTGGCAAGCCAAGTGTAGGAGCATGCAGTGCGTGGCACAAAGGGGGAGGGCAGGCGTCCTATCACCTGCGCGCCCCCCGTTCGCATCTCTTTCTCGGAAAGCTCGAGGGTCTCCCGTGAGGACGACATGCCCGCGTGACTGGCCCCCCCTTTACGTTTTTTTTTTGTTTTTTTTACGTTTTATTTTTTTTTTTTTTTTTTTTTTTGTTTTTTCTTTTATTTTTTTTTGTTTTTTTTTTTTTATTGTTTTTATTTTTTTTTTTTTTGTTTTTTTTATTTTTTTATTTTTTTTATTTTTTTTTTCTTTGTTGGAGGCCCCTACGGTTGGCCGCGGAGTGTTTCGTGGCATCGGAGATGCGCTAAGGAAACCAGGGGTCGACCAGAAAGGTCGTCGCCTCTTATGAGCTCCCGCGGGGTGTTTGCGGAGGCTTGTGGGGCCCCTCGGCCTTGCTGTGGGCCTTGTGGAGGCTATTCGCACCCTCCTGGACCGATCCAGAAGGACATCAACTAAGAAAGGAATCCTCGACGGAGCCCCTCCAGAAGTCCGAGGCCGAAAGCTCGTCTCTTGGGGACGTGCTGTTTCTCTCTCTCTCTCTCTCTCTCTATCTGGGTGCTCGTCGGGGCCCTATTGGGGCCCTTCTGGCTCCCTCTTGAGATTCTCTTGCGCAAGTTTGGGTTTGTCTTCCTGCCTCAGAAGCTCATCGGATGCGAAACAGCGAGAGACAATTGAAGCAT